GCGAGGAAGAGCTGCGAGAGTACATCCTGAACGAGAGTGGTGGCATCTGGGTGGGCAAGTACCGGCGCAACCGTCCCATGAAGTGGGACTTTGGACAGGTATGTAGCACATGTCCTCAAGACAGATGGGTTCATCATGCAGCATTGTGCCATTGTGCCATCGTGTGTGTGGGTGTGTGCTCACCTGTTGTGTACGTTCCCGAGTTACCATGATCTGTTTGTACGTACCGCATGGCTGCTGTGGTATACTTCATGCATTGAATACATACAGTACCTGAAGATCAGCATCGGCTGTGCTGTGCAGTGCGAGGCTGCAGCATGAACCATTAAAGGTTTACGGAGCGTTTCACGGCCCTTGTATTTGGTCGGTCCTTTTCTCTCGGAATTCCCAGTGAAGTTTCTGCTAGCGCACAGCCACTTGCCCTACCCTCTTTGCAAATGCACATGTAAATGGGCCGTGGGGTATATTTGGTGATTTTAACGTTTAGCCGAATATAGCTGAGGATCGACTAAACAGAACATTTCTATTTTTAGGGGGACTAGTGGCTATTGCAGTATCCGTACTGTGTTTTAAAGGCACGTGCCAGTCATTCTTGTTGACTTGCATTGTGTGTGATTGTGTGTGTGTGTGATTGTGTGTGTGTATGGGTGGTGGGGTTGTTCAGGGAAGTTCCTCACTGTGATATCTGTAACACGTGCCGTGTTTTCCGTAGTACGAGTATAAGCCGCACCTTATACACTAGTAATTCGCCCGAAACATTCGATGCGGTTTTTACTATGATGGTCAACTTAACTAACGGTGGTAAATGGGGAAGATGGCTGTATTTCGTGACAACAAATCTGGGTGTTGTTTATACTCGGGAGAATACTGTGCATACCAGTGTAGTGTTACATGAATGACTCGGTTCAAGTCGGTTGTCTACTTCTTGAGTGGAGTTTGTCTAGCGTGTACATGCACTTGGCCACAGTGCAATGTTTTCCTTTATCTTTCCTTACTGTCCGTACCCTCCCCCCGGTGTGTTTTATTCCAGTTTGACATGTCATCCTTGGAGACGGCTCTGTTCTTGATTGAGAAGATTCCCAACAAGTTCCGGCAGGACGTTCACATGGTTAGTCACCTGACTGTGGCCTCTTGCACAAAGTCACCGGGCCACTACATGTATGTCCGTACATTTCTGTGTGTTTCTGTCTGCTGATTCACACCATGCCACGGTTACCGAAGCATGTGCCATAATGGACTTAGTTGCCATAGTGACTGAATCCTGTGACATAATTGGCCTAGTTGCCATAGTGACTGGACTCTGTGACTTAATGGCGTAGTTCCTGACCTTCACTCTCCTGAAGTGAAACTATTCAAATTCTGCAGAGAGTATTGTAACCGTATGATAATTATTATGTGCCCCGTCCTGTTGCAGGTGACTCGCTACTTGTCATCAGCTCTGAACAGTGAGGATAACGATGGTGTGCTCGAGGGGAACTGGAGTGGTGACTATTCCGGCGGCACTCCACCCACCGACTGGATTGGCAGTGTGCAGATCTTTGAGCAGTACATGAACTCCAGCCGAACGACAAGAAAGAAGCCTGTCAAGTACGGCCAGTGCTTCATCTTCTCTGGAATTCTGACATCTGGTAAGTGATCTGGGCTTCCCGAGCCCAGTTTGTCTCACCTTCTCACCCACACGTTCTATTTTGCATTGTGTAACACCCACCTACTATGCTTTCCTTCTACCCCCTCGTCAGGCGAAATAGCACGTCATAGTACATTCGAGATCAGCGGGAAGAAGATGACGACGTCCACTAATTTAGTATCTGTGCACACGAATCTGCTGTGTTTGTTACTCTGTGTGTCAGCTATGGCATCATCGCCTGTGGTTCCATGCCTAGCATGTACGTCTGAACCATCCTGCAAAGTTTGAATGACGTAGGTTGAGCGATCGCTCCGCGAAACATACTTTTTGAAATTCTCTTCATAGTATATCTTCCACCATTGAAATTTCGAATTTCTTCAAAAAAAGTGCTGAGAGGGGTGGCTTGCAACCTCGATATGGCTTGTTCCAGGCATGCTTTGGAGCCATCGCCTGTTGAAACAGTAGCGGGAAGCTGCCCTGCAACTGTTCCAACAGGAAATTAATCGATCCGAGAAAGCGTGAGTCCGCGAATCTCGGTTGAATAATGAGTATTTCAAGCCTTTTCACGACGAAGATGGAGTTCGTTTTGGAGATGGACGTCGCAGCAAAGGACATGGTGTCCGACTTCTGGCGTCTGGTGAAGCCAGGGATCATTTGTCCAGTCAGGTCGGCAGCCTAACCGTCGGTAAGCTTGTGTTTGGATCCCGTTCTGCTCGATGTGGTAGATCACAAACAATTTGATATCGCACAAATTGATCTCAGCATCGTGCGTACGGTATTTTATATTCAGGAAATCCCAAAGCGTCTCTGTGTGGCCGTCCTATGCCACGAGAAACTCCAAACAGGCTCCTATGTCCTCTGCTTTCATGATTGAATGTCCACTTCGTTTGAACAACGAACACAACAATCGAGGACGGCTTTGCAATGAAAAATACAGCTATACTGGAGCTGAAAAAAAGAAGAAAAAAACGTGCTCAAGATGAGACTCGAGTACATGCATACTCTCCCAGCAGGTGAAACGCAAATTTTTGTGAAAAATGCGTGTCGCCGACTGACCAGTAATTTCGCCTGACGCCCCCCCCTCTACCACCACCCTATGCCATGCATGCAGCTTCTGGTGGTCTTCTGGAAATATGTCTAGAATTATTCGATTAGTTTTAGAAACATGATTTTTGTGGCTGCTGTGAGACTCAATGCGCACAGGCTCCTTTGTACAGCTGTCGTCATTGCCCACACCCCATCCTCACTGCTGCTTATTCGAGCCATGAGTTTGGTTTCGTTGCAATAATCCTTGCTTGCCTGTAGCTCTCAGAACGCTGGGCATTCCAGCCCGATCAGTGACGAACTTCCGGTCGGCTCACGACACGCATTTCAACCGTGCCATCGACTACTATCTGGACGCTGACGGTGACCCAGTGGAGGACTTGAACGGAGATTCCATTTGGTGAGCAGCAATAGTGACTAAGAAAGTTAGCTAGTTCTTCCCAGCTGTTTGCTGTGCGTGTACGTGTACGCTAGGGATCTAATCAATCAAATGTTTTCTGTTTTACGTATGGCCTGGGCATGAGGTTATGTTGTATGGATGTAGCGAATGCGATTTTCGGGCTTTGACCACTTTGCAATGGGTCTGATCTACTTTCCTCCCATCGCTTTAGGAGTAGTATCTGCGCATTGATCCTTGAGGGCCCTTGTTCCTACACAGTTGCGGATAATTCAGTCTGGCTGAGTTTCACGTGAAGTGAAAATTGAAAGTTTATTTTACTATTTTGCTATTGAAATGTAGCATAGCCTGGCATAGGATGAACTCACAATCACCTTACTATCTGCTTTGCTTGACGTTTCTGTGAGTCTTGTTGGGCGTAACGAATGTGGCAGGTCATTGTCAGAAAAGCCATCCACTGGTGGAAGTTGAGTGTTGAGCAATTGTCCTCCTCCTCCTCCTCCTCCTCTACCTCCTTCTTGCCCAACTCCCTACTCCCTGAATGTTTAGGAACTTCCATGTGTGGAACGAGGCATGGATGAAGAGGCCTGACTTGCCGTATGGATTCGGTGGCTGGCAAGCGGTGGACAGCACTCCACAGGAGCTCAGTGACGAGATCTTCTGCTGTGGACCAGCACCGCTGAAGGCAGTCAAGATGGGCAATGTGGTGAACTACGATTGCAATTTCATCATTGCTGAGGTAACTGGTGTACCACTAAAGGAGTAGATGTCCCCGGTCACTGGGAGCCGTGGGTTTGATTGCTATACTCAGTACAGGCTCACTGCTGACTTGTCTAAGTGCTGTTCCCCTTGCAGTGACGTGATCCAAGGCCATGCTGGTACTATGCATGTAAAGTATGAAAGAGAGAGAGAGAAAGGGAGACAGCTGCAAAAAATGAGTTGTATTAATATTCAAACGTGCATCTGCTCTCGTGTAGCACCTCCATAATTTTATCAAACGCCATTCAGAGGTAATTCCAAGCACGCTGCCTACGGGTGGAAGGTGAACACGCAACATTTCAGGTTTTGCATTTGGATTATGCATGTATTTCAACATCTCATGGCGATTCGTACAGGCAGCCAGTATGAGGATTTAAAGGAGGTTGTTGAAGTTTTTAACATGCCCGTGGACGGAATGCTGTGAACAAAAGCCGAGTGGAACCTAAAATGCCATAGCAGGGTCTTTATAAAGTAGTCCTAATCTTGCCATGTTGGTTTTTGATGTTCAGGTGAACGCAGACCATCGGCTGTGGGTTGCAAACAAGGCAGGTGATTACACTCTCAAGAGGGTCTTGGCATCGCATGTTGGAAAGGAGATTTCAACCAAGGCGCTGGGATCGCTGGAACGCATGGACGTCACTCATCTGTACAAGTTTGAGGAAGGCTCCATCGAGGAGAGGGCTGCACTCGGGTCCAATGTGGCCGTGGGCTCCGTGGAAGGTACACTGCTTTAGCTTGAGCTCCACACAGGGTGAACATTGCTGATGCTTAGCTTGGGCTCCTTAGGGATAAACATTGCTGATGCTTAGCTTGGGCTCCTTAGGGATAAACATTGCTGATGCTTAGCTTGGGCTCCTTAGGGATAAACATTGCTGATGCTTAGCTTGGGCTCCTTTAGGGATAAACATTGCTGATGCTTAGCTTGGGCTCCTTAGGGATAAACATTGCTGATGCTTAGCTTGGGCTCCTTAGGGATAAACATTGCTGATGCTTAGCTTGGGCTCCTTAGGGATAAACATTGCTGATGCTTAGCTTGGGCTCCTTAGGGATAAACATTGCTGATGTTTAGCTTGGGCTGCGTATGGGATTAGCAATGCTCGTGTTTGGCTTAGGCTGCTCAAGTGATAACATTGCTCATGATAATGGAGAAGGGTACGTGTGTGTGTGTGTTCCTATGTCTATGGACGGAGGAGGCTTGTATGGTTTCACACACAGATCTCAGCAGTTGCAGTACATTGTATGTAATGTGTGCTTTTTATCAGGCAAGGACGATAGCGCCGCACCGAGTGACGTTGAGTTTGCCATTGACGCTCATGAGGCCAAGCTTGGCGAGGATATCCGTGTCGACCTGGGCTTGAAGAACACCAGTGAACACCAGAGAACCTTCCACTACCGCGTCACTGCTTCACCGTTGCTTTATACCGGTAAGAAGCGACCGTTGTTAGGTGATACAGTAGAACTGTGATAAGAAGTACCTATCGTGACGGGCAGCAGGACAGTGGACTTGGTACCCAAAGTACTTCTTACCTCAACATACTACTTCATTATTGACCAATACACCCGTGCCCCGGCCAAGGTTCGTACTAAGCAAGAGTATGTCTTATCAGAATACGTACTACTAAGCGAGTTACACTGTCGTTAGGAGGATACAATGTAGTATTGAATTTGTTGTCGGCTTACCCTTCGTTTTGTGCCAGTGAATTTTCGGGCAGCAGCTGTTTTGCCCTGGTGGTAGAGATGAGTGGCTAGACATTCTGTTCCATGGCTAGGCTAACATAGCGCCATGCACTGTCTAGTATTTGGAGTGTGAGCTAATTGCACGAGCAACCAGCACACAGTTTGCCATGATGATTGTCTGCTAACATGTTTTGCATTGCTGCAGGTCGCAGTCAGGGCAAGCCGTTCTACGACACTGGCATGATGCAGGTCACTATTCCATCTCATCAGGGTATGCAACGTTACATTTAGTTGTCCAACTTCTTCCTCGGAACATCAGCTGGCTTCTTGTTGCTAAGTAGCAGTTTCAAGTTATCAAGTTTTAATAGCATCATACTTATTCGATATCTGGAGTTGGTGTGTGGTTGTGCCTTAATTGAGCTGTCATTTTGCATACTGTTTAAATGTATATTATTTCTGCAGCACAGTGATTGGCAATACTGTGGTGATTCTCCTGTGATTTGTAGCATAGTTACGACCCCAGTACTTGGGAGGCGGTTCTGTTCGGTGAAGGAGAGAACTTTGCTTTGCTAACCATGCGGAACTTGACCAAAGACCTCTGCAACCCCGGCTGTAGCCTAGGCCGACGGCTCTAAACAGTGTAGTGTACATTGGTGTTCTCTTGTGACTGTGTACTTGTGCCAGGTGAGAGCACAACTGTTTCCATCGCTCCCTCTCAGTACCTGGGACATCTTCCACCTCACCAGCAGCCATGGCTGAAATTCGTCTTCTTCGGACGCGTGGAAGAGACTGACCAGTGCGATGTGCAAACGGACACGATAGAGCTCCTACTGCCAGAGCTGAAGGTTAGTAGAGTCAGTGTTACATGTACATGTACTGGTATTGCTACTCCTGTTGTCAGTGGCTGGGTGTTGGTAAGCTGGTTCTTTGCATGTGCGTGCATGAGTGTGTGTACACACACTCACACATATACACCCACACCCACACACACACACACACGCACGCACACATACACATACACACACACACATACACACACATGCATACATGAACACAATGCTCCTACTTAACCATGCCATGCACCAATGGAATCCGAGATCTGCTCAAGGGCTGCCTGATCAGGACTGCTAGATTTTGAGTTAATAAAATTGTACCGAAGATGAAAAGGCTTAAATTACTTTTCTGCCAAATGTTGTGGTGGTTAAATTTTGAACAAGCGACTTCTTGCTATAATAGTATTTTTAAACTGTGCCGACGTATAGGAGGGCATACTGATCACGTGCATGTGTTTACCTCGGCGTAACACTGCTTTTCATCTGTCCCAGGTTGAACTGGCAAGCAGTGGTGGTGTCAACAACGAAGTGCGTCTCGGACAGCCTGTCGAGCTCAGAATCTCCGGTGACCTGTCGATTGGGGCTCAGTCACGGCCCATACACGGCGCTGTGCTTTCCTGGCATGGCCGTGGTCTGGCCAAAAACCAGAAGAAGGCATTGGGGTGAGAGACTGGAAGCTGTGCTAACTTACTACACTCAGACGTCTCTTATCCGGGCACCTTGGGACCGGGACCGGGCACTGTCCGTATCTCAGATTTGTCCGTATCTCAGGATAACTCAGCTACTATGTATCGTATCATTTGTGAAGAAGTTTATTTTGAACGTATTGCATATGTTCAGGATACAAAAGGAACCGATTGATAAAAGTGTGTGAATTACATAGGTTGGCGATGAAAAATAAGCACTTCCACATACGGAAAAAAAGTTCAAAGCCCCCAAATTCGAAGCATTTGTGCTATAGGAGCTCAAGCTGAAGGTGGCCGGTAGAGAGACGTGTCCGTATCTGAGGCGTCCGGATAAGAGGCGTTTGAGTGTACGTGTATTTGTTTGCATGCGGGACTTTCCCTGTTTATTGGTCAGGTAGTATCCAGGACTTGTGCATGTTTGTCTAGAGAAAGTCAGGGGAGCCGTTGTGTACATTACACTGTACAGTTGATAAAGGTAATAATTGGTAACTAACGGGGCCCCATATTTAAAAGATGACCGTGATGGGAGGAGAGAGAGAGAGAGAGAGAGAGAGAGAGAGAGAGAGAGAGAGAGAGAGAGAGAGAGAGAGAGAGAGAGAGAGAGAGAGAGAGAGAGAGAGAGAGAGAGAGAGATAGATAGATAGATAGATAGATAGATACATGTAGATAGATGGAGAGGTGCTGTGGGGAGGAGTCAGCTGACTCTGTATTCAATGTTTGCTGTGTCTTACCCTGTACGTGCAGTCCCATTGACCGCTCCAAGCCATTCAGTGAAGTTGTTAGCATTACACCGACACTGCGTGGACGGCACTCGCTTGTCGTCGGTCTGGCTAGTCCAGAGCTCGTCAACGTCGATGGCTCGCTGGACCTCAGCGTTGTCTAGGCTCTCAGCAGTCAATATGATGTGCTTCTTTTACCGCCTCAGCATGCTCTACACTGTCATTGTCCTCAAGATACCTAGAGCCACTGTCCTCAGGATACCTGGAGTCAGTGGCAGCCAGGCTGTCCTCTGTTCTCCTATCTCAATGTGATTTTCTTTTCCACCGTTCAAGTGTGCTACTCTTTTCATTCTGATATCAGCCGGCGCTGTCTCTGGCCATCGCTGATAACACTCTCCCTACATGTAACCGTTTTAGTTATGTTTACAGGTTTCCCTAGGTTCTATTTTTAGAATGCAGTCAATGTTCCTCTCCGGGCTTGGGAGTCGTGAGAGGTAGGCATTTCCCTTGTGCAGTGTGTTAGTCGGGCTATACGACTTTGGTAAAATCAAGCACGCTTCAATGCACTGTTCTGACTTAGCTTGGTGTCGCTACTGCTGTTGCTAGGAATCTAGGATAGTCTTAGGCTTAGCACAATCTTTCATTCTTTGTTTCATTTGCTTTGCGCGTGTGTTTAGGAAAAGGAATTTTCTGCTGCTGCTGCTGCTGCTATTCTTGTCAATATTTCTTTTGGGACAAAGTCAGACGTTTTGGTCTAATCTGAATCATTGCGCGTTCAATACCTTATAGAGGTCAACCTACTTTAGCAGCAGCAGGGTGATAGATGTATGCGCTTCATGTGCCGTGTGTATCCTCCCACCAGCCCGTTGCCTCCCCCCCCCCCCCCCCCCCTGTGTTCACACGTTCGGGTTACCATCTGCTTGAGAAACACAACCAGCTTAGGAAGTTTCGCTTGTGTCCGGCCTGATAGATCTAACTGAAAATAATGTAATCTGCCCAATGCAGACGTCATGGCGGCAGCACTGATGTGCAGCGCTGTGACGGACATCAAACCTACTCGTAGTCGCAGATCTACCAATACAATCATGATAATTATGTAGATCTACCATGCACACCTGTTCAGGTGAGGGCTACTACAATGGTGTAGGCTACTCTCACCTGCTGGGCCGGACACGAGAGGAAATAGGACAGCAGCGCACACTAGCACTGTATTCATGGTATTCAAAAGGCCAAAAGAAGTGGAGACATCACGAGCTCGACCGGATATAAACCCTCAACGGTGCATGGGTTCGGATTTTCGCGAAGGACAGTGGAATGGTAAAAACAATGGTATCAAAGACGGACCATAGGTCAGTCCTGGGCAGAGGTACAGAAATAGGAAGCTGTCGAAACATCCCGGACAGTATTACAATGTATGCCCGACTATGAACAACAGTACATTTAGCCACTTTGCTGCATCTCCAGGTCGGTGGCCTTCTTTCAGCTCAGGAGCCCAACAGGAGGTCCACTAAAGAACCTCTTTCTCCGCTTTTTATCTAAAGTAACATATTAGTTGCACCCTCGATTGTTGTTGTTTGTTACCCTCCCGTCCTGTCCTGTCGAGCCACTGCCACAAGGGTCACGTGGGCCCCGGAGGGGCAATGGAGAGAGAACTTACTTAGAAGAGGAGAACGCCGTCCCACGGCGTCCGGGGCACAAACAACGAGAGGTCGCCAGGATTTAGGTCACCTACGACTGCTACCACGAGACTGACGTATGACCGGAGGAGAACCTGAGCAGCGCTAGCGGTGTCTATTCCTGCCCTGGACCGAACGGAAGCAGCGGCCGCAGGACGCAAGACGGCAACGTCTGTAGGGCCTTCCCTATCAAAATAATAAATTCTACTGCATGCTACTACTACTACTACGCACAGTGCGCGTCGCAACAAGTCTCCAATACGGCTGGGGATCCGGGACTGAGCCACACACTTGTGACGGGCAAGGGCATCACGGCTCAAGAACCAACGCCGGCAACGGCCGCAGCGATCACACGGACATGCTCCGCGCTGTTCATTCACTGGCTTTGCGCGCTCTGCGGTGCACTTGTGCCTGGCACGATCCTGGGGGCGCGAGAAAGACCCTCTTGCACACAGAGGCTGAGAGCAGTTGACAGCAGCAGCCGCACCCCCAATATAAGGATGCTGTGCGAAGAAGATACATCAGCGTCTGTCGAGGTGTACACTGACCTCCACTCTGCGCGAGACTCCCGTGCAGTTGCATACCAGCAGCGGCGCCGAGGACCATGGGCCGGGCGACAAGCAAGCATTGTCCAGAATAGGACCTGTCGTGCCATCCTCTCCGACTCCATGCGGACCACATGGCCCATCCACTCCAAGCGGCGATCCGCAACCTTGATATTGAGAGGCTAGGGATCACCCCTCAGTTCCAACACTCAACAGTTGTACTTTGGAAATGTGATCCCTCCAGCACTGTGAACAGCAGACCCTTGAAGCGCCATGGGTTTGCACTATCTAAGGGCGCGTTCGAATTGTCACTCTTTGACTTTTCGAGGAGCTTCGTTTTCCTGAAGAGGTGGCCTTATTGGGCTCTTCAGAAAAACGAAGCTCCTCGAAACTCCTCGAAACTCATCCGATGGGAAGGTGGATTAGTTTCGAAGAGTTTGGAATAGCTACGTCACGTAGTACGTGGAGATGGTCGATCTGATCGGACGTCATCAGCGCCATGGCAATTCCACTGAAAAACTCTAAAAATGATAGAAACCGTTCTAATGGGACACTTCAACTAATCTCTTTATAAAATTTGTTAGAACAGTTGATGAAGACAATTCGAACGCGCCCTATTAAAGGCAGAGTTCCGTGACGGAATTCACCTCAGGTACAACTGGCCACTCCAGCGCATACCCTCTCCCTGCACATGCGGAAGCCAGTTTTCCATCAGCCATGCCCTCTCCTGCCCTACTGGTGGGTATCCAACCATCAGGCATAATGAGGTGCGCGATGTGACTGCTGGTCTCCTTCGCCGGGTCGCCACTAACGTATCTGTGGAGCCCCACCTGGAACCCCTCACCGGAGAGCAGCTACGCCTTCGCTCGGCAATCCGAGATGATCAAGCTCGGCTGGATGTTGCTGCAAATGGAGTATGGGGAGGGCAGTTTGAGCGCACCTTTGTAGATGTCAGGGTGTTCAACCCTTTTGCGCCTTCAAACCAGTCCTCCTCGCTCTCTGCTCAGTGACGTACATCCGGCATGAGAAGGCCAAGAAGAGGTCATATGAGCAGCGGCTGCGGGATGAGGAGCACGCATCATTTGTCCCGGCTGTATTTTCCATCACAGGTGGAATGAGTAGATGTGCATCTGCTTTTTACAAGCGCATTGCATGTCTATTGGCTGAAAAGTCTAGTGAGCCGTATTCAGTTGTGATGTCTTTCATTCGTTGCCCTTAAGCTTTGCCCTTGTGAGAGCTAGTGTGATGTGTGTGCGTGGAAGTCGCTCTCTCCACTCTGCTCACGCCCCTGTCACAACTTGTGCTCTTGTAGTTTCGGCTGAGGCATCCATTTCGCAGCACTGACTCGTAAACTTGCCACGCCGTGTACAGTAGTATTATTATCGATATGTACATGACATTGTATTTAATATAGCTATGAATAGGATGAAGGCCGCAGACATCACGCAACTACGTTACTTGTTTGACATGTATAACTGTGTATTTTATAACAAAAATATTATTGAAAACCCAGAATCGATTTTCTCGTTCCTATCATCAGTGGGAAAAAAACGGAACTAAGGATACAACCAAAGAAACTGAAGTTAAGTACTGTAAATAGAAAGGTGTTAGAAATAACATCAAGATACAAGTGCAATAAAACCACTAGAGGAAACGCAAAAAAAAGGTAACAAGATCACATAAACCAAAGGCGAGAAGGCACTGAACGAAGTGTCAACCTACGAATACAACTTCAGTGCAACAATGTGCTCTTTCTGCTTACACAAAACAGGCTTATGAATACGTATACAAACTGCCTCAAGGACTTTCAACTGTTGGACATAACGCGCACGACACAGTACAGAAAAATGAGAGTCATCATACACACCAAGACAGTCAGGACGAGATTACAAGTGTAGATACACAGCTGACTTCTTGCGATCAACACATTCATCCGCCTCATCTCGCTCCTTCCCACCCGACTCCTCCTCGTCCATCTCATCGTCCTCTTCCTCGTTCCGCTCGTCATCCTCACGATCATCATCACCACCATCATCTGCCTCGTCCTCTGTCTCCACACCAACCGTTTCGTCATCCAATTCCTCTTCCATCCTCTGATCATCCGTCTCATCCTCCGTTTCAGTACAGACCACTTGTCTCCCATTTGCTAGCTGCTCGTCCCGGGAGCGGAGTTGTTCCTCCAGATCCGCTTCACTCACTGACTCATGATACTGCTCGACCCTCCTCCTGTTGGTACTGTCCACAACGCGCGGTCCTTGGCCGTTTCTGGCATAGATCTCTGTGGAGTAGTTTGCTGTTGCCCTCCGAGGTCTCTGGATTAATGTGGGCGGCGTGGCAATTCGTGTGAGAGTTGTTGATGCCAGCGCAAGTGTAGGTGGGTCCACCCCACTCGCGAGACCTCGGAGGGCAACAGCAAACTACTCCACAGAGATCTATGCCAGAAACGGCCAAGGACCGCGCGTTGTGGACAGTACCAACAGGAGGAGGGTCGAGCAGTATCATGAGTCAGTGAGTGAAGCGGATCTGGAGGAACAACTCCGCTCCCGGGACGAGCAGCTAGCAAATGGGAGACAAGTGGTCTGTACTGAAACGGAGGATGAGACGGATGATCAGAGGATGGAAGAGGAATTGGATGACGAAACGGTTGGTGTGGAGACAGAGGACGAGGCAGATGATGGTGGTGATGATGATCGTGAGGATGACGAGCGGAACGAGGAAGAGGACGATGAGATGGACGAGGAGGAGTCGGGTGGGAAGGAGCGAGATGAGGCGGATGAATGTGTTGATCGCAAGAAGTCAGCTGTGTATCTACACTTGTAATCTCGTCCTGACTGTCTTGGTGTGTATGATGACTCTCATTTTTCTGTACTGTGTCGTGCGCGTTATGTCCAACAGTTGAAAGTCCTTGAGGCAGTTTGTATACGTATTCATAAGCCTGTTTTGTGTAAGCAGAAAGAGCACATTGTTGCACTGAAGTTGTATTCGTAGGTTGACACTTCGTTCAGTGCCTTCTCGCCTTTGGTTTATGTGATCTTGTTACCTTTTTTTTGCGTTTCCTCTAGTGGTTTTATTGCACTTGTATCTTGATGTTATTTCTAACACCTTTCTATTTACAGTACTTAACTTCAGTTTCTTTGGTTGTATCCTTAGTTCCGTTTTTTTCCCACTGATGATAGGAACGAGAAAATCGATTCTGGGTTTTCAATAATATTTTTGTTATAAAATACACAGTTATACATGTCAAACAAGTAACGTAGTTGCGTGATGTCTGCGGCCTTCATCCTATTCATAGCTATATTAAAATTATTATCTCCACACATTCCTTCTCCGTTTCTCTCTAGTAATGGTTCGTGAATCCGCCCAGTCCACATTCCTTCTCCGTTTATCTCCGTTTTTCTTTCCTTTCAGTTGCATCTTCCTCTCTGCTCTGTTTTATTTTCTCTTTTCGTTCGTCCCTCTTGATATTTGTACTTTGTACTGTTGAGGCAACGAACTGAAATGATAAAAACCAAACGTAGGTTATTTGTACATTGTATTTAGCTCCTCATTGATTTTTTACCATCCGTGGGCCATCCCCTGATTTCATAGGTGCCAAACATTAATTTTTTACGTTTTTCATTCACTATCATGCATTTTGTCTACAGTCTATAGTCGTAAAATCAATAACAGTTAAAAAATTAAGGTAGCTCCAGCACTGTGAACGGGATACGCCAAGAATCGGCCTCACACAATCTGAATAATCTCATGTGAAACACGGACAGGCGCTGCAAATCACGTTGGAGAGGTGTCCAACACTCGGAACCGTAAAGCAATAACGACATCGCACACGCGTTGAACACGCATGCGCATCTCTTGATGTGGATATCCAGGTGCCTCAATGCACCACAACTAACTTTGGCACAAGCCCGTGAAGCGCTGGCTATACGCGTACCGGCATCTACGTCCTCCATAGCTGCTAAGGCGCACAATCCTCTGCAGAGACGTGGGAACCAGCCACGAGAAGCTTGGTTTTCGATGAGCTGACCGTTAGCTCAAAGTCAGCAGCGGCACTATTCCACTCAGAGATGTCTGCCACGCTTCGCGTGGGAGGTGTCCAACGGATTGCGCCAGGGCTGCACCATGGCGCCAGTGCTGTTGTTACCCTCACTCACTCACTCACTCACTGTGGCCTCAGGCTTGCATGCAGTCTCTGCTGTCTGCACTATTCTTTCCTAGAACTAGTAGAAGTAGAACTGCAGCGAGTAGATGTACTAGTAGTACTAGTAGTAGTACTAGTACTGAGTACTAGTACTACTAGTACTCAGTACTAGTAAGTAGTAGTCTGTAGTGTAGATACAGGACTCAGGAGAACTACATTGCAGTAGGTGCAAGCATTGTATTGAAGCAAGAGTAGATCTACGTAACGTAACCATGGTAACTCTTGGCTTGCCACTTCAACACTTGGTAGATCTACAAGTCTTGTTGTAGGATTAGAAAGCTTGCATGAAGGATTGAAGCACGTGGCAAGTGCATTTTGCATGCATGTGATACTCATATTAAATGTTTATTGTCATAAATTTTAGATGCTAACATTCAACAAACGAAAGGTACTACTACTAGTACTAGTACTAGTACTAGGACTAGGTGTAGACTACTCGTATCAACGTGTGACGCCATGATCGAATAGTCCTTGGAGTTGGAGCTTCGCTAGCGCTACTGCCGCTAGCTCCGCTGTACTTTGGCCGGGAGGCGTCTTTGTGGATAAGTAGTTAGTTGAACGGAATGATAACTGTAGCTTTGCGGGCGGAAAGGAAGAAACCTTCCTTGAGTTGGACACTTCGTTGTGAACGTGTTGGATATTCGTGCTGATAATCAGTTTCAGAGGTGTTCCCCGCAGCCCAGCGTATCACTATTATCACTTTCAATCCGTTCAGTAGTCTTGCTCGTAGCGCGGTAAACCTCCCTTGAACTGATCGGTCGACGTAGTAGATCTACAACGCCGCATGTGTCAAATCTTCCGCGCGTGTTACACCTTTACGACTAAATGTACTAGGTGTGTGGGTGTTTCGACAACACTCGTAGATCGATCATTGGCGAAGATAAGGACACATTCTGCGACAAGAAGCAGGTCACCTAGCCTAGGGAAAACGAACATTTCGAAACGAAGAGAATGCAGAGAAGAACAAGTAAGGTGCAGCTGCCCTCGGCGAATCATGCTCGGGTCGCCGCAGCCAGCGCTGACCTGGAGGACATCCCCGAGGAGGGCAGCGACCCTTCTGGAGTCGACTCTCCACGTCCTGATGGCGACGGAGACGAAGCGGCGCGTTCCGCTCCCAAGCCGGAAAAGAAGCGACATCCAGTGAGTGTTTTATGTTGACACGCCAGTCCATCCATGCTAAGCTAGACTGGCGGCTGGTGTGTGCATGTGCATGACGGTACTACTGACTACTGACTGCTGTAGCTAATGTACAAGTACAATCAAAGTCATGTACCTATACCTAGTGGTACCTATACCCATACCTATAATAATCACTCTCTTAGTATTGACTCCCATTGATTTTCTCTATACCTAAGCAGTCAATATGTATGTGTTATTAGCCGAGTATCAGGGCAATACCGGCCGATATCTGCCCGAGCCGTGAGGGCAGATATCGTAGCCGGTATTGCCCGTACTACGAGGCTAATAACACATTTATTACATGCATACTTCCCTAATTTGATATACTCATCAACGTACACTGCCTTCACACGTGGAATTCGGGATCATGGTACTACGAAAAACTGCGAGGCACATTACATGTATCCAACTGGTATTACATATGTACATGCGCACCTACTTGTATGTGTATGTGTACAGTGTGTATGGGGTCAAATGTCGGGCAATATCGTGTAATATTGGACCGCCTGAGCGGGCTTGTATGGAGAAATATTGCCCGCTCTATCTGGTCGCTGATTGGCTGTAGACCTGGAAACGGTCACCTGACATGTAATAAGTATATATTATAACCTAACCAGTTGATTATATGGGAAATATAAACCTGTATACAAACCGAGGCGAAGCCGAGGTTTGTATATTGGTTTATATTTCCCATATAATCAACTGAGTAGGTTATATTATGCTTATACTGAGCTGATATACAAACTCCCATCTCTCCCACAAAGGTAGAGAAGTTCGTCTTGGAATTCCTACCCACACAGGGCCACAGCCATGGCTCGACGAGTCTTTCTTTCACTGTACCTGGTACCTGTACGGAGCAAGGAGTACAACAGTTACTTTGACTAGCAAGTGCAATGCATGGCTATGCTGTGCAAAGCCATCACCAGTGATCACGATCACGCACACGCTTTGTGACTAGTTCAGTTGCCTTGGTCACCGGACGGACCCCCCAAAGCTTCAGTGCTGGAGCGGGGTTGATGAGTCGTACCGCAGAGATGACGACCTTGGAGAAGACGCTACATCGGAAGTAACCGCTACGCGCCAAGTTTGAACGCAAAGTGCCCGTTACCGGGCGCAGACCTCACCTCGGGCTCGGTAAAACAACTAAGGACCACTATTGTTTGGTCATTAGAGTCCGTCTCCTTTCCAAAGAAGGAGCAAAATGAGTCAGCCCGAGCCTGTTGAATCTCGATCCCTAATGAGTCAGCCCGAGCCGGTTGAATCAACTCCCAAACGTCGCTTCGGTTCTTCCACGGAGGCTGACCACGATGCCATTATTCAAGCGGCAGTTCCCAAGAACACTCGCAGTGCCACTGATTATTGGTTGCGCATGTTCCGTCAGTTCTGCGAGGGACGCGGACAGGAGGAGGTCATCGATTGGAAAACCGTCAGTGGTGAAGTTCTGTCACCCCTGCTAGCTGCATTCTATGTCGATGCGAAAACGCAGGACGGCTCGCCCTTCTCCAAGAATAGTCTCAAAGCGGCACGCGGGGCTCTTCAGCGGCACCTGTCGAGTGCTGGTGGTATGGGCAGACTATCAACATCTTCAACGACCAGATCTTCTCAAGGCCAACAAAGTTCTTGACGGAGTGCTGAAACAGCGAAAGAAGGACGGCCTCGAACGTCAGGTGCAGCACAAGGCACCAATATCTGAGGCGGACTGGAAGCTGCTACAGGAATATTTCAGCGGCATCGACGACACCAACGACGCAGTGAAACTTACCTATTACGTATGGTTCCATCTGACGTTGCACTTTTGCCTTCGTGGAGGTGAAATGCAAGCGGCCATCAAAAAGGACGTCCTTATGTTCTTCACTGTTGACGGGAAAGAGATCCTGAAGTTGGGACCGTCGTACATGTCAAAAAACCATCAAGGCGGACTGCGGGGCACGGACTGGTCATCTGCCGGAGTTATTGAAGACCCGCAGCAGATAGCAGCTATCAAACGGTACGTCTCCAAACTACACCCAGATGTTGATCGAATTTTCCAGCGTGCCATGGGTAAACGTGAGCTCTCAAACGAAACTCCCTGTTGGTTTGCCAAATCTGCCCTATCGCATAACTTGCTGTCCACGATGATGAAGCGTTTGTCATCCGTAGCTGGTTTGTCCCAGCCTTACACCAGCCATTGCGTACGGTGTACTTCGATCACGCACCTGAAGCAAGCCGGCATACAAGATCGCCAAATCTGCAGTGTGTCTGGCCACCAGAATGTACAGTCGTTAGAAGCCTACGATCAGCCATCGGTGAGTGATTCTGTTTCTATGGCTGCTGCAATTTCTCGTAAGCAAGCTTCTGCTACATGTAGCTCTGATTCTGCTGCTGCTGATAGCATTTCTTTGGCTGCTGGTACTTGTATGCATAACCAGTCAACGACTATGTCGTCTGCTGCCATTTCAGCCTACCTCAATGCAACTGGTTCATCAGCATTTCTTAACTGTCCAATTACGTTCAACATACATGCTGAGCGTGCCTCCAAAGCCCGAGCTATGCTGAAGCGCAAGCACTCTTAACCATTGTTTTGGCGCAGAGACGGAGGTTTTCCCACTCTCGACAACTGAAATGGCCTAGTGCAGCATTTTGATATACTCGAGCTCAAGCCTGCTTTCTTCTGTTGTTACCGTACTATTCCACCCTACCCCAGTGTTATTTTCTGCCATAACTAAGCTTCACAAATGCTGAATTACTATCCAGTCCCATCATTGGTCCTTCATCGCTCATCTTTCTTACTGTTGCCCTAGCCTGATCCTAAAAAAAGGAGTTTATATACCAGTTTATATACCAGTTTATATACCAGTTTATACACCAGTCTATATACCAGTCTATATACCAGTCTATATTCTCTTCATCGAAGTACCATGTTAAATGGAAAATACAAGTCTGAAGTGTTGTGTGGGAAGAGATGGGAGTTTGTATACAAGCTCAGTATAATCCTGCATATTTCACTCCTTAGCGCTATATTGACTTCTTATATTGGACTGCTTATGGGTTGCGCGGTTGAACGGTGCTGTGGTGCAGCATGGTCATTGTATGAGTAGATGATGGTGCAACGGTTGTGCAATCATAAAACCGGGATTCATGAGGTAATCGTTCTGGAATTTGAAATACCGACTGTCGTGATAAATCTAATATTGACTTCGTACTTGGTCAGTATAGGAAATAAAGCCGAGTAAAAGACCTCGGCTTCGTCTCGGTCTTTTACTCGGCTTTTATTTCCTACTAGCAGCACCCCCGGCCAGCGTTGCCTGGCCGAATGTGGCATGCGGGTGAAGCAAGTACATGAACAGCACACGTGCTCAGCACGTGGTGGTGGCCCGTTGAAGTCCTGGTGAGGGAGGTTCTTCATCGTTGGAAGGAGAAGGAGGGACGTCTGTTACGCCTTCGGGAGGCTGGTCAGGGTTGTCCATCACCTGGTGGCGGATGAAGCGGCTCAAAAAATTCATAAACTTACGAACAAAAGTGCGATGCGCTCTTCACTGCAGATCAGATGCAGAGTGCAGTCAGTGCAGATCTTTTGTATCCTTTTGTTGCAGATGTTTCTATTTGCAGAGAACGGTTCACGTGGTCCGCAGCGCTTGTGCGGCTGCTAGTGCTACCTATGGCCTAGGCTGGTCAGGGTTGTCCATCACCTGGTGGCGGATGAAGCGGCTCAAAAAATTCATAAACTTACGAACAAAAGTGCGATGCGCTCTTCACTGCAGATCAGATGCAGAGTGCAGTCAGTGCAGATCTTATGATTTGCTCAGTGCTTCTGGGGCCACTAGCTACACGATTCGCACGCTTCGCGTGCTCAGTGCTTCTGCGGCCGCTCGGCGCTAGCAACACTGTTCGCACGCTTCGCCTGCTAGTGCTACCTATGGCCCAGGCTAGAACGTGGCATGAACAGCACACGTGCTCAGCACGTGGTGGTGGCTACACGCTTCGCACGCTTCGCGTGCTCAGTGCTTCTGTGGCTGCTTCCGCTAGCTACACGATTCGCACGCTTCGCGTGCTCAGTGCTTCTGCGGCCGCTAGCTACACTGTTCACACGCTTCGCGTGCTCAGGGCAGCGCTGCTCCGCAGGATGGCCTGAGCGTAACACACAGACACACGTCCCAGGTGCCTCTTCTTTATAAGTAAAGATATTGACCACATACTCAGTCAATATTAGATACTTATATCTGCCGTACTGACCAGATTCTGCACAGCAGCAGCAGCATTCAGAAGTATACCCTGGTAGACTACAAGTCTACAGTCTGTGCCTGGCAGTCTGTGCCTGGCAGTCTGTGCCTGGCAGTCTGTGCCTGGCAGTCTGTGCCTGGCAGTCTGTGCCTGGCTCATTTGCACTACAAGTCTACAGTCTGTGCCTGGCTCATTTGCACTACAAGTCTACAGTCCGTGCCTGGCTCATTTGCACTACAAGTCTACAGTCTGTGCCTGGCTCATTTGCGCATGGGCCAACCGTTGACGTGGCATGAAAACCTTCCTTTTAATCCAAGGATGACTGTGTCTTTTGTTGGCCCTTGCAGTAATCATTGGACAGGCTACGGTAGACCTACATTGTACATGATTGTAGAGTGATCTTCAAGAATAAGTGAACCTGCACACGAAATACAGGTGTACCCTCGTTAGTACAGTCAGACCTCGCTTATCCGGTCCTCTTTTATCCGGATCCCTCGCCATCCGGAAGAAAATTGTTGGTTACCGATTTGCAGCATATGCCATGCATACATGCAGAATGCGTGTTCGATTATCCGGTTCTCCCTCCTATCCGGATATTTCTGTGGAAAACGGATGTGTGCGGTTAAGCGAGGTCTGACTGTAGACAACTCTCGGGTTTCAAATGTGTCTTATAACGAGTAGTATCTACTGTCAGGACTTGCATGGACAACTGTTAAAATTAATGCGTTTCAGGCGTCAGGGGATTTTTGGGTCGCTGTCTACTAATGAGATTGGTCTTGTAACCGATGAGGCTGTACTAACTAGGGTAGTCCTGCACTTCTGGACACTTGCTATCAAGCCAGGACTTCATTATGGCAACAGTCACGTAGGTTCAGGGGTGTCGCACACGGTACGGTCACTACGGTATTGACCGTACCACTATTTGCCCCAAGTACCCCGTGATGCAATAAAATGCACTGATGTGGGCTCTAAATTTCCGAAATTTTCGGCTCAGCCACCCCTCCCCCACGAGTAAATTGTACTTCGGATGGCTGGCCGTACCACACTAAATCACCTTCCCCCATCGGGCGCAACTGGTGAGAAGTATGTTAACATCATAGCTCGTCTATACCAGTGCTTTGGTGATGCAGCGGCAGCCGAGAGTGTGTCCATCAAGGTAGCGATGGTGGCTACACAGGTACTGCTTCAACAGCCATATCGTATGGTAGACAGCCGAGAGCATGCTGATTGCCTCCAACGCAGACTGTCCAGCTGGGATACTGAAGATATCGATGAGTTGATGACTGAAGCTCGTACAATCCAACAACAGATACGAGAGGCTACAAACAGATTCAGCAGGGAAGAGCGTGCAAAAGGCGAAAGTTAAGCATGGAGGTTTGCCGCCTTGGTCATGGATGGAAAGATAGGCTCTGCCACACGTATGCTTGACGGCGACAGTAAGGGCGACCTGCATCACCTTGACAATGTCATAGGTGACCACACAGTTCGAGAGATTCTTCGAGAGAAGCATCCAGCAGCATCATCTCTAAACGAAGACGCAGTTATGGACGGAGAGCCTCTGCCCCAACCACATCTGGTCATCTTCACGGCACTCAATAGGGATGATATTCGCCAAGCTGCACTGCGCACGCATGGTGCAGCCGGGCCTTCAGGCATGGACGCAGCCAATTGGCGAAAGATTTGCACCTCCTTCCGCTCAGCCTCGGATGCACTCTGCGATGCTCTGGTTACCTGTGCCAGGCGAATAGCTACCAAGTATGTGGACCCCATATCACTGGAAGCTTATGTGGCTTGCCGTCTAGTGCCTTTGGACAAGCAGCCAGGTGTTCGGCCTATCGGGATCGGGGAAGTCGTCCGCCGCATTCTGGGTAAAGCCATACTTCAGATTGTTGGCTCGGCAGTCGAGAGTGCTGTTGGCTGTCTGCACTTATGCGGTGGGCAAGAGTGCGGCGTGGAAGCCGCCATTCATGCGGTGAAGGCCACCTTCGATGATGACCACACGGAGGGAGTCCTGTCCGCGGATGCAACGAACGCATTCAATCGCCTAAATAGAGCTGTTTGCCTGCGCAATGTTCAGCGGCTATGTCCTGAGCTCGCGCCAGCTGTTATCAACACCTACCGCTCCCCAGCTCACCTGTATGTTGGAGGAGAGGTGATCCTGTCTTCTGAGGGCACCACTCAAGGAGACCATTGGCTATGCCAATGTATGCACTTGGCACAGTGCCACTGATCCGGGAAGCCGCCGCAGCTGGGGCCATGCAGTCCTGGTATGCCGATGACGCAACTTCAGCCGGCGCTCTCCGACGAATGCGCACCTGGTGGTCCATCCTAGTAGATCGAGGCACCATGTATGGTTACGACATCAACCCGTCAAAGTCCGTTCTTCTCGTGAAGCCACAACATCTTGCGCTAGCAACAGAATTGTTTGCCACAACCGGGGTTAACATCCGGACGGACGGCTATCGTCATCTTGGTGCTGCCCTAGGCTCTGTCCTGTTCTGCGACGGTTACGTGTCCCAGAAGGTTGGCACATGGTGCACAGAGCTGCAGACCCTCGCCAAACATGCGGCGTCTCAACCTCAGGCTGCTTACGCTGTCCTTACCCATGGTCTCCGCCATAAGTGGTCATTCCTTGCGAGGACAATGCCAGCCATCGCGGACCTCCTGACACCGCTGGAAAACTCCATCAGCCAAGTTTTCCTCCCTGCACTGACTGGTCGCCAGGCCCCCGGCGAGGAAGAACGTGCCATCCTGGCGCTTCCGTGTCGTCATGGTGGTTTGGGAATTCTAAACCCAGGGATCCTTTCCCAGCAGTACGACACGTCTACGTCTGTCACCAGACCTCTAGTCGAGCAGCTCCTTCGACAGGAGGAATCCATCGAGGAAGTTGTTGCTGCCACCAAGGCAGCCAAGGCGGCCCAACGCACAGCTAATCGCCAAGATCAGGCAACGGCCCTCTCCTCCCTCAGGGATACCCTGAGTGACGACCACAGGCGGACTCTTGATCTAGCCGCAGAGAAAGGTGCCTCCAGTTGGCTGACTAGTCGGCCATCTCGCCGGTTCCAGTTTACCATCCACAAGGCTGGCTTCCGGGATGCCCTATGTCTGCGCTACGGCTGGACCCCTCCCCGGTTGCCGTCTCACTGTACCTGTGGAAAGCCCTTCGACACCACCCATGCCCTATCATGTGCCATCGGAGGATTCACTGGGATGCGCCACAACGAGCTCCGGGATCTAACCGCTAATCTGTTGCGTGAGGTTGCGCATGACGTCAGCGTGGAGCCAGAGTTGGAACCCCTCTCTGGTGAAACATTCCCTCTCCGGTCGGCCAACACGGAGGCTCATGCTCGTCTTGATGTGGCAGCACGTGGAGTGTATGGGAGTAGGTTAGAGAGGACAATATTTGATGTTCGGGTGTTGTAACCCTTTTGTCCCCTCCAACGGACTGGCACGACTATTCTATCTGAGACACTCTGTTCTCAGTCCTTGCTTGCTTCCATACCTCACTCGTTATCCGGTTCACATCTGGCTGCGGCCAACTACCCTTCACTTTGTGTGTTGTCGCTATTGCTGTCTTTGTCTCTGTGTATGCCAGTATATGTGGAGCGAGAAACTAACAGTACTTCTAAATCACCTTCCGACGCCCCTGAGGTTACAATGTTATTCAGTGTAACCTACATGACTGTTGCCATAGATTGAACCTATCAACTATGTGTATGCACTCTGCATGATACAGACATTGTTTTTAAATCCCTTACGGTACCATGGTGTATGTATCATCTGGTAACTCCGGATACATTGAAGTATTGAAACTTGGATGAGATCAAGTCCTGCGGCACAAGTTTTACTGTGCTTTTCTAAACTTGTGTGCTTTGCTGAAGGACGGCGTACCTCCAGTGGCCGTTGACCTAGCTGAGTTGAGAGGAATCATCCATAGTCTGGACCCTGGCATTATGAGTGCATCAGACGTGCTGGGCGTTCTGAACGGCCTCAGCACTCTACTACAAGGTACAGGCAGCTGATGCTGGTGATGGGTTAACCAATGTTTGCCATCTCAGACACAGTCCTATTCTTCTCTTCTGATCTGTCCGGGACTAGGTTGCAGCCATAGTAAGGAGAAACCCCCTAGCTCTATTATCGCCATGGCTGGCTATCGCCCACATCACCTTTTCATTGGCTAGTGCCACGTGATTGTGAATAAATAATAATAAAAAATTAATAAAACAGTGAATTATCAAATCCCGCTGTACATGTACATGATGTGCCATTACCCAGTGAATCTGTTGGTATAACACTTTTCAATGGTAATATTATTTTCCACACAGGAGCAAGACCCTGTCTTTACTATGTAAACAATTTCAAAATAGCTATAAGAGTACATACGCTCCAACGAGCGTGCAGCTCTGGATACCCTCTCTATGGGGTCTGCCGACGGTGAAAATTCATATCACGTGATGTAGTGTTCCCATTGCACTTTGCCAGTCCGCTTTTAGCGACCAATGGAGTTGAAAAAATAGCACTCCCAAATGAAATCCACTCAGCTTATGCGAGTCTGTCATTATCTGCCAGATAATTGGACTTAGCGCACGCCAGCCTTCGTTGTACGCAGTACAACTTGTACTAGGGATACGGGATGTGAATTTCCGCAGTCGGAGACCCTGTATGTAGATTTTCACACTCTTGGGAGCTTATTTACTCTTGATAGCTATCATAGTCTGCCACCCAGCGTCCCAAGTCCTAGAGAGTAATCTAAACTTCGAGTGCGATGGAGAATGTGGTATTTCCAGAAAAAAGCAGCATCCAGGACCTGGCCCGACACTCTTTGGAAGCTTTCCATTTATAGATCATCAGTGCTTGATGGCTGTGTCTGCTTTTTTTCTTTTCTTTTATTTACTGGTACACATTGCGGATCAGCGACAAATTAGGGAATTTGAGGAGCATGGCATGATAGTGTGTTAGCGCTTGGCAGATAGTGCCGCTTGTTGAAATATTGGCAGATTCTCCTCGAAAAGTAGTGAAATTGGCTAAATCATACAAACCTTATGGTAGGCACTCCCATGAATTCTGCTCCATTTCTTTATCCACATACCAAACATCAATGCATGAAACATGCCAGAAAAAGTACCGAATTCTATCAATCTTTCTGCCGGCATTATCCGCCAAGGGCTATGGCGTGTGCACGAAGAGGCTAAAGACGTTTACAATGTACTTTTGTGGGGAATTAGTGGCACCAGGGACTGAGCCCTATGTCTATGATCTTCATCCTGGCTACGCCCCTGTCTAAGTGTAGATGTAGGCAAGTCGTTGAAGAGTACATGCACTCTGATGTAGGGTACTATCGTTGTATCATACTCAGCAGACCTGCTACATTGTCTGTATGGGGGAGAGGGGGAGGGGGTTGTGTTTTCAAGGTGAACTGTCCAACAGGATCAGTTCTAATTTGGTGGCTACGGCCCTGACTACAATGCAGTGTAGCGCATGCGCTAGTTTAGATTGCTGCCAACAAGTACTAGCACAGATAGTAGCCCACAAAAAGACGATTTTTGGGGCCTAGAAAAGGGATGTGTCTTAGACCCTGGTGCGGCCAACGCTCCGGAAAATGCAGTACCTGGCTCTCAGTCATGCCATGATTCCGACTGGCACCCCCCCCCCCCCCCCCACACACACACACACTCACACACTCCCATCCTCTATTCGTGTTTCAAGAGAATGTTCTGTTCTGTGTGCTCATATGTGTGTGCTGCTGATGATTGTCTCAACAACCAGGAGGAGTTTGGAGAAAGGAGATTCTGAAAGCGGGGTTCTACCAGCGAGTTGTAAAGTACCTGGCCCATGATCAGACCATCGGCTCTGAGGTCTTGACATTCTTCTTTGATATATTCAGGAAAATTGACATGGATAATGACTCGCAGAATAGTAAGGATGAAATGAGAAAACGTTCAGAATTATTCCGCCAAGAGATTGTATTTTGGGGTTTGGAATTCACATCCGCCTGTATGTAGATTGAGTCAGTTACCTCTAGTTCCTGATGCATGCTGTCGCAGGGGCGTAGCAGCCGCTCCGGCCGGTCCGGCTTTGGCCGGACAACTTTTTCGCCCGACCACGACCACCATAGTAAAACAATGCCAAAAGTGCCCAGAATGCAGGATTTTGCACTCTAATTTCAAAAAAATTCAAGGGGGAGATCCCCCGGACTCCCCTGGCCGGACCGCCGCCAACGGCGGTGCTACGCGCCTGTGTCGTGTTGCATAAAGTTAAACCATGCATCATGTCATGTTGTGTTGCATGAAGTAAGACCATGACTGTGTTGTCCTTTTGACCTCTAAGGATAGCGCATGCATGTGCGCCATTTCAGCCTGTGTTGCTACTGCACCTATTTTCATGCAGACGCGAAAAAGGATTGGAACGCTCGAGAAGCGTTCTGGAGCAACAGAGCATTTACTGCGCTAAATCTCAACCTGCCAGTTTTCTTCAAGCCTAACCTCAGACTCGCCAGTGAGTACATGTATGTTGGTATGCATACCGTATGATTGCTTGTTCAATAGATGCAGTCATACACTTGTGGCAAATGTTGTCCTTCTAATTGCGCATGCCTCTACGCACATTTTTTGCTGCTGTAGATGCAGATTATCTACATGTAGACGATGATACGCATGCGTATGTCATCAAATGCAACAAATGCAAATATAGGAGAGAGGTTATGGACAACAGGTGAAGATCCAGGGTTCTCCAATAGATCCAGGAGTATGATCGGGGCCATGTCATCGCTCAAGCTGGTAGCTACTCCAGCTAAGGTCTTTACTGCACAACCAATGAATCCTGTGCTGAATAAAAGTGTGCACGTATGTGTGTTTGGTGTCGCCCTAAAAGAAGGCGTATAAGCCGGCATGCTTCGTTGTACATGGCAGCAGTCCTTGGGTGACACATTGTCCATTCTCTGCCATTCTGTGTGTTGCTAGTCGACAGTGAAGAATCGCACATTACAGTGTTCAAGACCGCCTATATCCTTGCCTGGCTCTGCAGTAAGTCCCCGGCCACTACCACATGTCATGTATTGAATCCCTAGCCGTGACACACTGACACTTGCGTATTCCAATCAGTGTTTGTAATTTACGATGTGGAGATTTGTAAGAAAGGAAAAGCACCAAGGCACTACAACTTACGCTATAATGTCCACTAACACCACCAGATACTCAACTAGATTTGTCTTTGCAGTTTCTTCTCCAATGGTCATTGGCAATTGAACCTTTGATATGCATACTGGGTCCTTTGATATCCATACTGGGTGAGCAGTGTTTGTGCTACAGGGCACCCTGAGCGTGATAGGATATGTTTGTAGAAATGGAAGGTGGATATGCAACTTAAAGACGTAATTTTAAGCTCGCTGTATGCAATGCCTGCCATTGTAGGGGAACGAGAAGGACGCAAGGAGGTCCAGCGCGCGTCATGCCCAGTGAGGTGTGTACAATCACTGCTGAAGCCTTCTACTCCACCCGATGTATTGGTGAGTGGCATCATGCGCACATCCTTGAACACTGTGCGGTTCTCTGAAACAGTAGACTTCCTGTGAGTTGGTCACACAGAACAGCGGTTGCTTAAGCTAGGCGGTCGCATGAACCAGGCAACCCTTTTTCAACTATAGATCATGATAATGATATCAATGTGTGTGACAACTGAAGACTGGGGCTGAGCAACACACAAAGATTGCCAAGTGGTTCTTGATGACATGGTGTTAATGTGCTCCATTTACTAACCGATTTGAGGACCGCCGTATATGCAATGAGTACTATCATCCGGTCCTTCCACATGCAGCATTGTCCTGATTCCCTAGAACAAAGTCAGTTAATTCGAGTGTTGCTAACTTTAGGCATGGTTTCCCACAATTGAGGGAACTGGTGAAATAAATAAACAAACAAATCTGACACTACACAATACCGTCCTGATGGTAGCATATTTCTGTTCCCACTGGGCAATTCCCTCGTGAGGACTCAAAACGCACAGCTGTTGTAAGTGAAATTTGGACCGATACTTATGTACGCTTGCAGTATCAGCAGGAGAATGTCAGCACCGTCTCCTGCACATGTATGGCTCGAAGCTCTCCAAAAGTGTGCATCGGTCCCGCGGATTTTGCCATGGCACGGCGACTGTACTTTAAATAAACTCCACAGCAGCTATAGAGAGAGAGCATTTCAAGGTCCGATATGCAGTTTTGACCGATGTGTTCAACATGTACTTTGCTCCACTGTTGTATGTACTTGTAGGTGCAAATCATGATGGTTATCTGCAGGTGTTTGGAGCACGATGATGTTCCAGTTGACAGCCTGAAGATACCGACTAGCTATGTTAGTGAAACTCAAACTGGTAAGCTCCTGGTCTTTCGTGCCCCACCATGGAAACAATGTAATACCAGCAGATCATGATTATGGGGTCTGTTTAGTTAGACCTGATGAAATATCCAGTGCTTCGATGGCAAGTCAACTGAGCCCAAGACATGCTGCGTACGTTTTGGCTGTCCAATGGTGCTTTTGCGTCGACGTGCTGTAGCATGGATGGTTGCTTGAAGGTTGCAATGTCTCATGAGCAATTCACCCTAGATATGGATTAAGCCGTAGCAGATTAGCCTGTACTGCTGCCTTTTATGTTCTATTGTTCTGTATTACTTAGGTTTACATTCTTTAAGTAAAGCCTGTCCTGCAAGTACCTTGCATGCTTCCCAGAATGGGGACATACTGTATCCAGATAAAACTCATCCACTTAGCCTATGCCAACATACTCTCGTCAAATACCCCTTGTGGATTGAGAATAATAATTAAATATGATGGCAGGGGAAGTGGGGGGGGGGGGGGGGGGAGAGATCTTCTGTACATTAGACACAAGTGTAGGCTTTCCCCCACCGGTTAGGAGCAGCATACGATACTGATCATGTGCTAGTGGCATTCCACTGAAGCGGAAGATAGTTCTTCACCTACACGGTATGTGGATTCATACATATGTATACTATTTTATTTCCCAGATGGCGAGCCAAGGAAAACAATTGTAACATAGAAAAATAGTTGGTGGACTCGATCACATAAGTTGTGCCCACATTTCTCCATGTTACAAATATTTTATTTCCATTCACCTATGAGCCGAAAGTACTCATGTACCATGGCTCCTTCTCTTGGACTGTTTTTGATTGATGCCTTGTACCTTGTGTGTTGGAACAGATTACCTGTCTGATCTCCTGGACGTCTATCTCGTTTCGGAGTATCGACAAGTACAGAAATGGACATTAGGAATTCTAACCTACCTGGCTGTAAACGGTACGTAACGAGTGCATTGAAACATGACGGGCTTGAATTGTGAAGAATGACCCCATATATTATACTACTTGCACACCCGGTACAATATTGAAGTTCTGCATTCTTTGACCATGCACGAGGGTGGAAAGACCTAGAGCGCACAATAACTAAAGCAGGGCCGGTCTAACCGTGATGTTGCTACGCAAGCCCTGGTGAACAAGGGATGGCTATTTGTGTTAATTTGTGTGTCACAGAGAGAATAAGAATGGCCTTACTGCAGCGGGATATCCTAGCCAAACTGGCCAAATTTCTTGAGCGCAAGGTGAGTTGTGTAAGCCAAAGCATGGTAAGCCAGTCTTCTATGTTGAATTGTCTCTGCTGATATAACAAATCTACACCATAGCTTAGTTGTAGAATATTCTAGCCTATTGACTGCTGTTTGAGTATTGTGAAGGTTCTTGGTTCGAGTCCTCTGTATGTGTGTGTGTGTGTGTGTGTGTGTGTGTGTGTGCGTGTGTGTGTATGTGTGTGTGTATGCATATGTGTGTGTGTGTATGTGTGTGTGTGTGTGTGTGTGTGTGTGTGTGTGTGCGTGAGTGCGCATGCATTTGTACATGTGTGTGTCCGTGCGTGTGTTCGTGCGTGTGTTCATGCGTGTGTGTGTGGGGGGGGGGGGTATGCATATATGTGTGCGTGCATATGTGTGTGTGCGTGAGTGTGTGTGTATGAAGAGCTGGACAGTTATAATCAGATTTTGAATTTGAAATTTTGCCGGGTGGTACTCCTAGACCTATTGATTACACTGAGCGGAAATCTGATTTTCTTGAATCTGGCGCTTAGCTGGTTTTGCATCATATCTCTTCCCGTGCTCTTCTCTCGATGTTTGCTGCTGCAGGAATACCGTGACTTGCACGGTGAAGTCTATTCCATCATGGTCCTGCTCTGGTTGAATCAAGATGCTGTCATGGTACTGTTCTGCTATCCAACCAATAACACCTATACACCATACCGCATAATCTACATGTAGTTTGAAGTACAGTGGACCTCTGACTAGATTTGTAGATCTGACTGATAATACTGTTCTGTAGAGACTTCTCGTCACAGTATACTCTGTACGAATAGATGATAATTCCACATGTCTAGGTAAATCCAGTATGCATGCAAATACGGCCAGGGCAAGGCAATGTTTGTGAGGACATTTGTTGTGACTGTTTTCTGCAGATAACGGCGTGCAATGGCTGCAGCATACTCAAGAGTGTTGCATCCGTCCTGCAGGAACACATGCTGACCAATATCCTGGCTGCAAAACTGGCCGTGAGTTCATGCTGGCTGTGTTTATTTCTCTATTTTATTGATCACTCATATCCCTACAGACAAGGGGAGGAAAGATGAATGATGACAGATGAAGGACCAAGACGTGACAAGAACAAATGTCCAAACTAGTACAGGGAAACACTATAGTGTCGGGCGCCGAAGAATAGAGTGTCGGGCGCCGAAGAATGGAGCGCGAAGAATAGAGTGTCGGGCGCCGAAGAATGGAGTTTCACCAAGCACAGCCGACACTGATCATTTTAGTTTAGCAAAACGCATCAAAGATGTGTGGTACAGAAGGGAGTACTAGTGGTGGGGGTTAGGGTTGGTATTGGTTATGCTACCAGCAATTAGTATGCACAGAGCCAGCCCTGCTGGGTTAGGTGCATAAGGGCCTCTCTCTCTCTCTCTCTCTCTCTCTCTCTCTCTCTCTCTCTCTCCGCCTCCCTCTTTCTCTCTCTTCTTGGTTTCCTAATGTGGCATGGAGATGAGATGGATGTCTGTTTGATTCCAATCTTTGTTGACTAGGTGCGAGTTCTGCACGACTTCACCTTCCGTGTGTGCAGAGACCCACAGCCTGAAGCCGCCAAAGGAAAACATAGAAGTACGGTGCGATGGAATGATACATGATGAACATGAGTGGTGGTAGCATGCCGTGGCCACCTCATGGGCAAATTGGGGAGAGAGCACTAGCAGACACAGGAGTATTCTAGCCATTCTCCACAACCAATGCACATACACATACACAAATGTAAACACACACACACACACACACACACACACACACACACACACACACACACACACACACACACACACACACACAAGGAAATGCAATATGTTCTGCTTTTATTGTACTTCAGGAGATGTCACTGTGATCGTACATTGTTTAACTTGAACCTGATGATAAGAATTGGTTGTGCTGACTTTAGATACACGTGAACCTGACATCCCACTATCACAACAAGTTGACAACTACAGAGCTAGATTAATTACATAATTATGTCAACTACTTCGAAGTAAAAGCCATGCATGGCCTCGGCTCTGTTTCTCTGTATTCAGAGAAGATGGTAGTCTCATTGAAGAGCACAGCCTTTCCCAGAATGATAACTCTTGCGGGAAGTTTGACACTTTGTGTAACTTTGGTTTCAGGACGAAGTCATATTGAACGAATACCCCTACCGGGTGAAGTTGCTGATGTTGACGACAATGATGATGACGACAATGATGATGATCGAGAAGAGACACCTTCACAGGTCACCTTTCTTCGCCCACAACTCCTTCTCCTTTGCCACCATGACCTCGACATTGTGCTTGTCAAGCTGGTCGCTGGCATGAGGAAATTCGGAAATGCACCGTATTACGAATACAAAACTTTAACGAAAAGAGCGCTTGACCTGCTGGTGATGTGGTGGAAAGAGTTGCCGGATCTTCGACTAAAGCACCTCTTTCAGCTAGGTAAGAAGAGGCTCATACTTGTCCACAAAGTTAGCTCCGCTGGGCAGTGTTCACCGTCTGTACCCATTCAGAGATATTGAGATATGCATGCACACGAGTACTTCAAAGTGCTTGCGTGTACAGTCAACTTTACGTATAACGACACTCGGCGAGGCATCAGGAGAGTGTCCTTATTCACGAAGTCTCATTATATGTATTACAGTTAGATAGGACTTTGCTCTGGGCATGGACATTCTGTCGTTATTCGCGAATTGCCGTTATATCCGCAGTCGTTATCAGCAAAGTGGACTGTATGTACTTTATTCTGCAATACAAGATGTCGAGAGGGTAATCCATAGACAAATCCTTCAGCATGCTTCGTTGCATGGGTGCTTGTCTGTGTGTTCAGACTCAGGTCTACCAAAGGAACTCCTATACTTGATTGGGATGGCTCCCGGTAAGAAAAGCATATGGCCCGACTTCCCTTCGTCTGAAAGCATCAGTTTGCTGGCGATAAAGACTATAGCATGGGTTTTGCAAGAGCTGCCAGTATTGAGAAGGTAACTAGGAGATACTTCTGTTGTGTCCATGTAGTGGGTGTGGGGCGCAGTGCTGCACTTGCTGGTGCTGGTGTGTCACAATTTGTGTTGTATTTGTGTGTGTGTGTGTGTGTGTGTGTGTGTGTGTGTGTGTGTGTGTGTGTGTGTGTGTGTGTGTGTGTGTGTGTGTGTGTGTGTGTGTGTGTGTGTGTGTGTGTGTGTGTGTGTGTGTGTGTGTGTGTGTGTGTGTGTGTGTGTATTGTGACCTCATGCTAGCATTGCTAAGTGAAAACTTTCATTACTCCACACACACACACACACACACACACACACACACACACACACACACACACACACACACACACACACACACACACACACACACACACACACACACACACACACACACACACACACACACACACACACACACACACACACACACACACACACACACACACACTACTACTACTACTACTACTACTATTACTACTACTACTACTACTACTACTATAGCATGACTGCCCACTGGGCAATGTCACCCCCGGAGGGGACCAGAGTTTGGAGGGCACCGTCATTGGCAGGACTTCTGGTGCCTCATCAAGTCTTGCTGTCGTCGGAAATGCTTTGGGCAATGCATGCAGATCAGCGGCAGTGATTCCCTATCGGCTGCAGCAAGACGTTTTCCACGGTTGCAGTTATGGCGGTTAAAACCAGCCCGGGACTTGAAGCAGGGATTGCAGCGTTGACAATGCTGAAAGCAGCAACTTGCGAGAGACGCCATCAATGCCGTATCTGCATGTTCAGGGAGTGCGGCTGGCTAGCAGCGATGAACTGCGAGCCCACCCTTACTTCGGAACCATCGGCAGCAACTGACGCACTGTGCTGAGCCACGCTGTTGATGGACGGGAAGTTGGCGCTCAGCCAAACATTTGTGCCGTGCCTTGTCTTGAGGACGAGAGAAAGCCCGGTTGCAAGATGAGCAGAGACAGATTTCTCTGCTGCCCGAGGAGGCTGAAAAACCAGAACCTGCTCTCGCCAAGCTGATCGGTCTTGTGCGCAATCAAACCAGTCTGGAATGGACTTCGTGTCAGTAGCCACAACGTTGTAGGAACTGCGTCCCACGATACTAGAATACACTCTCAGTCTCACAGCTACCATAGAAAACACAGTCTTGCTCATCAGTCTCTCAAACAACAACAACGACATCGTCACGTGCGCATGCGTAATATCCCGCATGCACACACTGACTCAGAACATAGTACAGTACTACATTACCCCTTCCCCCAAGGGAAAAAAAGAAAGAAAAAAGAAGAAGAAAAGAAGGTGGATGGGGAAGAGGCACCACAAAAAAACATACGAGGAATTATGGGTGTCAATAAAAATGAAAGTAGCATGAAGAAAAGGAACAAACACGAACGAATTCCCATGTGTGTAAGGCAGGTTCCGATATACGATGGTTTGATCACAAGAGATCTCATTTAGAGGGACAGTCCTGGCATGAGGTATTCAAGAAATGGCTTACAAATTGAGCCTATCTGGGGCAGCAATGGTGTGCTCTGATCGCCGGAGGCTAACTGGGGGCGTGGGAGACGATTGTGCAGATGAGGGCTGTCCCGCTAAAGGCACCAATGGCCTCGTCGACTGAGCCACCGACGGGGACGACGCATGGGGCTCTGCTTGTTCAGCCGGAGCGGCAGGCGGTGAAACCACGGCTTGGTTGGACGGTTGTACATCGGGAGATTCCAGTCCCGTGCTGCTAGAGGTGGGTTGCCACGGTCGAACGTGTCGCCGATTGCGAAAAGCAACACGTGCACCATCAGAGACTATTACAGAGCGACCTCGTTGTTCAACAACTTTCCATTTCCGTTGCTGGGCTGTGTGGCCATCCTGCAAGAGCACTGAAGAGCCTGGCGACAGGGATGGGAGGGGTTTCACGCCCCGGTGCTGGTCGTGCTGTACTGCCATGCCGAGTTTCTGTGACAACTGGGTGTCGAGGTGGACGATGGGGGCATTGACAACGCTGGGCACGCGAGTTCGGATGTGGCGACCAAAGAAAGCGTGTGCTGGAGTGGTACCAAGCATCCGGTGGGTGGAGGTGCGAATTGAGAAAAGCACCTGCTGGATACGCTGGATAAACGGCATCTGGCTGTTGAGAGTCCCGAATCTCGCACGAACGGTGCGGTGAAATCTTTCCACCATGCCATTTGATTGTGGATAGCGTGGGCTGACTCGGATGTGATGAACTCCCAGGCGTTGGAGGAACTCACCCATTTCGGCGGACACAAATTGTGGGCCATTGTCACTGACGAGCTCGAGCGGAATGCCGAACCTGGCGAAGATAGTGGACAAAGCCATCACGACACGTTGGGACTTGGTTCCAGGCAGGACAATCAGCTCCGGGAAACGAGACCCGTAGTCGACCAACGAGAGCAGGTGGCGGCCTTCGATCTCCACCAAATCAACTGCCACCTTGTGCCACACTGGAACAACCTCCGTTGGCTGCAGCTCTTGGCTGTGGTTGGTGCGGCTCCGCCAACAAATGTCGCATGCTGCTGCAAACTGCTCAGCATCCCGTGACATACGAGGCCACCAAACAGAACGGCGAAGGGTGTCTTTGAACGTAGCGCTGCCTGGGTGCCCCTCATGACCTAGCTTCAAAACCGGCTGTTGCAAAGCCGATGGGATAACAACTCGGCTGTCCGGAAGAAGAATGCCATTTGCGACGGTCAGCTGGCTTCGCATCATGAAGAATGGTTCCTCAGCAGGCAAGATGTCCCGCCATGCACCGGTGAGGACCCGGCGGACTATTGCGGCCAATAATGGATCGTCAGCAGTAGCAGCCTCGAGATCCGCTTCACAAACTGGCGCTTCTGACAAGACCATGCCGACGAATTCGCGCATGGATCTATCCTCCTCTGGTGACGCCTCCGCAGATGCTAGGGGGGCACGTGACAAAGCGTCGGTAACACACATGGTCTGGCCAGGTGTGAAGCTGAGCTGGTAGTCAAAGGGCAGCAGAGCCAATAGCCATCGTTGAAGCCGTGGCGGAACTTCATCGAACGACTTCTTGACAATGTGAACCAACGGCTTGTGATCAGTCAAAACGTCTACGGTGCGACCAAGGGCATATTGTCGGAACTTGGTTAGGCCGAAAACCACAGCCAGCATTTCACGTTCCAGCTGGGAATAGCGTGCTTCCGTTGGATTGAGCGAACGACTGGCACAACAGACAGGCTGCCAGTCACCTGTGTCTGCTTTCTGCCAAAGAATAGCGCCAAGGCCCACGGGTGAAGCGTCGCAGCTAATGGCGGTGGGACGGCTGGGCGAGGCATCGAAGAATGCCAATCTGGTCAGTAGCTTGGCAGCGTTGTCTTGACACTGTTTGAATGCCTGAAGAAGTTCTTTGTCTACGAGGAAAGGCTCACGTCGTGATAACTGGCGAAGCGGCTCTGTGTGCTCAGCCAGACCTGGGAGGAATCTGCCCAAGTAGGTTAGCATTCCGATCATTCGGCGTACATCCTTGAGGCTCCCCGGTGCTGCCATGTTGCGGATCGCTTCGGCCTTTGCCGAGTCGTGCTGGATGCCAGATTTGTCCAGCACACATCCAAGATACCGGACCGACTCTTGACGGACTTGAGACTTTGGCCAATTCAATCGGAGGTTGACGGCATTGAGTCGCTCAAGGACCAGTTTGAGGCGTCGATCGTGCTCGTCTCTGTCCTTCCCAACGATAAGGATGTCATCGATGTCAACGAATACACCCTCCAAACCATCCAACATATCCGACAAGATTCGCTGGAAGGTCTCAGGCGCCGATGCGATGCCAAACGGAAGTCGCTTGAATCGATAGAGGCCCTTGTGGGTGCTGAAAGTCGTTAGCGGCCGGAACTGCTCATCCAAATCAATCTGATGAAATCCGGCTTCAGCATCCAACACGGAGAACACTGTCGAGCCATGGATTTGCCCCGTAATCTCATCCAGGGTAGGGATGGCCCTGCGTTCACGAACGACATGCTGGTTCAACTGGCGGAAGTCGACGCAAAGGCGTAGTGTGCCGTTGGACTTGCGAGCAGGCACGATGGGAGAAACCCACTCTGTTGCCTCTTTGACAGGCTCGATTATGTCCGCTTTACATAGACGCTCTTATTCGGCTGCGATGTCGTCTCGAACTGAGAATGCTGGGCGACGAAATGGCACTGCTGTAGGGGTTGCATCTGGATTGACACGGATGTTGACAGGTGCTGCGTTGACTACGTTCGCTGTGTCCGTCTCCACCATCTGCAGCAAGCCTAGCTGGAAAATGATGTCCTGGCCGAACAGCGCCAGTTTCCCCTCGGGGACCACAAAGCAACGGCATGCTGTTTGACGTGAATTCCCCGCCACAGTGATGTCCGCCATTCCGAGAGTGGGGACCTCCGAGCCATCGTACGCACAGAGACGACGGTCGCAAGCACTGTCTGGCTTGACCACGTCGGCGGGGCAGATGGTGCGCGTTGCACCCGTGTCTAATAATCCCGACACCGGCTTGCCATTCACAGACAGGGTAATCAAGAACCGCTCATCATGGGATGACTTGCTGAGTGGCTTCGTCAGGTATATCAAGTCATCCGTTGCGCACATGTTGGCTGACTCTTCCTCTCTGCACGCATTCGCCTGGCCAGGTCGGCTCCCATCCTGACGACGACCACGCCGTGACAAGCACACCTTGGAGAAATGTCCCATCTTTCCGCAGTTGTTGCATTTCTTTCCAGCTGCCGGACAGTGGGCCATTCCGGGAGTGTGCTGCTCCCCACAATATTTGCAGTTGACTGGTGACGAACGTGAGTGAGTGCTAACACGATTGGCGGACGCACCACTGGGAATGGAGTCCTCCGTGGGGCGAAATCCAAACTTCCCCGGCTGGTCGTAGAGCTTGGACTCTGAATAAGAGAGTTCCATGCTGACTCCTTTACGGATGGCAGTCGCCAACGTAAGGTTTGGATCTGCCAACAGCTCCCAACGAATTTCAATATTGGCCA